ACCCACAACATTTGTAGTCGCCTTCTGCACAGGGGAAGTCCACACACACTGTGTGGTACCACTTTCCGCAGAAGGTGCAATCTGCAAGATTGAATGAGATTGTCAGGGTCATTGTCTGACTGTTTATTACTAATCACCTGCTGTACATTCACAGTAACTGCCATCTCCTTACAAATGTTTATTAGATTGACCACACTTATACAGACTGTATATAACAAGCAACTCTAAAATGTTTGTTCGCAGAGAAAAGACACAGACAGACTACGCTAACGATATGTGATGTTACAACACTAGTGAAATATTAGTGTCATTTCATTCATTTCAAAGGTTTATTTGCATGACGCACAAACAGACACAACTGAAAGGTACAAATGTGCATGAAACGAATTCAAACGTGCTGCAGATGTGTGTCACAAGTTGATCTGGCTGTAGGCTGTGGCACTTGGCCAGAGGTGGCGCTGGTTGACTCGAGTCCATGTTAGTGCACACAAAGTAAACTGCACGGATTAGTTGTGAAGCAAAAACGCTGAAACTGGCGAAATAAAACGTGCGAGGGGAACGATAACGACGACAAGAGTCTCCCGATCGTTTACTCTTGCTGTCCTGAGAACAACATCGGCGTGGTGTTAATTGTTTGCTGTTTTCGCGAGCGCGTCGCGCATGAGGATATCGTCAGGTAAACTCACGACATTTTTAAACATTTTGTTGTTCAACAGCATCAAGACTGACGGAGTGTGTTTGAGATAACCTTACAAGTGTCACAGATGACAAATTTGGCGGTTTGTTTTGCTGGTTTGTCGGTAGCAGCTCCTGAAACGCAAGACTGCCACACATCTGTTCGACCAACGCCAGTTGATCTAAACGCCAGTAGATCTGGAACACCGGTCGTCTTGCCTGTTGCATTCAGCGATGTTGGAAATCTTCAAATTATCAAAAGACACCCAGATGACTGACAACTAACCCGATTATTAAAAATGTGAATGAAGAACACCTAATATGTCCTGACTCAAAAACACACGTGAATTCATGTGAACTCCTTCTGCACTTTAGATTATGAATATATTTTTAGTTTAGGATCTGAAATTAGTGTAAGATCAAAAGGAATTTATTTGAAATGAAGTGAAAGTGAACACAGCATATGAGGTAAATGAACGAAGCAGGGAGAAAATGATCTTATGGATTTCATTTTTACACAGTACACAGCTTATATTATTGTATTTATTATACCACCATAAGAAAGTATGTGTTGTGAAATGCACTCATCTCTACATCACTTTGAAATTATAACTTTTCATCCATGGAATCATTTATATCACACAGTTTCAGAAACAAAGCACTCATTGTGCTTCTTGCTCATGATGCAGAGAACCTATCATTTATATGCACTAAGGCTACTGTATTTGTGAGAAAATGTGCCCTGTACAGGGCTGTGCAGAGATGTTTGAAGGGCCAGGTGCTCAACGTTATAAAGGGGCTCATTGAACCAGGCCAAATAACAACAACAACACATTCATCCAGAATCTAATATGGAATCTTATCATTCTATATCACTGTCATCAGATGGGGACAATGCAAAGCAAATGTAGCCTATGTTTTACCTGATGGGGTACAATGCTCCTGTTGAGGGGTTACTGCTGCTTCTTCTGCTGATAGTGCTGGATGGCAGGGCTGTGTTGATTTGAGGCTGTGGACATTAAAAAGTCCACGGGAGAGATGGTAGCTGATTAAACAGTTCAATTTTCAATTCAATTCAATTTTATTTATATAGCGCCAAATCACGGCAACAGTCATCTCAAGGCGCTTTATATTGTACAGTAGATCCTACAATAATACATACAGAGAAAAACCCAACAATCACATGACCCCCCCATGAAGAAGCAACAGTGGGAAGGAAAAACTCCCTTTTAACTGGAAGAAACCTCCGGCAGAACCAGGCTCAGGGAGGGGCGAACATCTGCTGAGACCGGTTGGGGTGAGAGAAGGAAGACAGGATAAAAGACATGCTGTGGAAGAGAGACAAAGATTAATAACAGGTACGATTCAATGCAGAGAGGTATGTTAACACATAGTGAGTGAGAAAGGTGACTGCAAAGGAAAAACTCCCCCAGCAGCCTATACCCATTGCAGCATAACTAAGGGAGGATTCAGGGTCACCTGGTCCAGCCCTAACTATATGCTTTAGCAAAAAGGAAAGTTTTAAACCTATTCTTAAAAGCAGAGATAGTGTCTGTCTCCCGAATCCAAACTGGAAGCTGGTTC